GGATCAATGGTGGGAGCGAGGTCCATTTTTTATGGAAGTGGGATCGAGGTTATTCGTTCTTACTCACCGGGGTTCAGTCGGTAAAACATCGCGTGCGATGGTGTAAACGTGGTGCGCGTAGATCATGCATCTTCTTTGTACTCTCGGAAGAAAAAAATCCTGATCAAAAAGTCCGTTCGTTAGGCATTTGCAAAACCCTAAGTCTTGGAATTCTTGCAATGCTCTATATTGTATTGTACAATCTAAGTAACCAAATGTACCTTTTCACGGAGAGAAAATCGTACATCCCCACAAAAAAATAATGTAATCAATTGTAGTACTAGCGCTCGCTTTGTCTTGCCAGTACAGGAAGCAATGAAGCTTGAAGCATGGGTGACCTACCAAATCAGCCTGGAAAGCTGAAACTACACTTGTATATTAGGATCGATGCTTCCCAAAGGCCTCCATCACTACTACTCCCACATCATCTCACGCCACATCTGAAAAAGATCAAGCTTAAGCCATCCGTTCAATTGCACAATAAAAGCATTCTGTTAATGAACTTGGCCGATTTAAGATCCTGCAAGAACAGCTGTGCTTGTTTAATGGGTGGTGCCCTGTAAATGCATTGCCGCCACCTAAGGTCAAGGCTCTTCAATTTCTCTGCTCGTGTGACTGCAATGCGAGATCTGTCGTTTTTTGCCCTGTAAATGCATCCCCACATGATTTACTATTATTATTATAGATAAACAGGCAAATTAAAGTCCTCATGTCAGAGGAGTGATTTTAGTGGTGACAGTTCTTTAATTAAGAGCACCTGAAGTCTTAACATGTGAGGGTGTCACGTGCAGCGCCGAGGTTAGCGGTTAATCTAGTGGGTGCGGGTTAGTATGATTCCATTGCACTATTTTTGATGGAAATGCTTGATAGTTACCTCTTTTTTTTTGTTGCATTTCCATATTGTTCAATTAGTTAGTCACAACTCCGCGAGGTGATGGGCCGTCGCTATGGAGATCAAGCTGGGACGTTGATTGGCACGCTTGACCTTCTCTATATCTTCATTGTGTCATTGTTATATTCATGACGCCAAATTGTCATGTTTTCGCTTGATAGGGACTTCTACTAATTTTTTAATAAACTTTTGGTCTCTGTGTATGAAAGAAGACCACACATAATAATCTTCAAAACAAAGGAGACAAATTCCACACACAAAAAAGGGAGACCAAATAATGTGAAATCAAACAAATTATATGATCGAAGGCGAAACAAAACAGAATGGATCACTTTTTTAGGGAATAAATGGAACGAATTTGGTTCCGATGTCCCATCTACGTTTTTTGTTCTTGCAATGTGGCTAAACTTTTGGTCTTGCTCCAACATAGATGACCAAATGAAACAAACTTTGTTTGATGTATTTTATACACCACCACTTTTTTTCGCAAAAAAAACAATATACACCACTTTTTCTTGCACTGTAGCTATCCTTTTCGCCACGGTCTGAAAAATAATACCAGACAAGAATAAATGCAACAAAATTTGTTCGGCATGTTCCGTATACGTTTCTTTTTCTTGCAATGTGGCTAAACATTTGCTCTTATTAATACATGAAAGATCAAGTAAAACATTTTTTGTTTGATGGATCTTATATAAATTGCTTTTTGGTTGGCAAGCATAGCCAATACAACTCATTGATAAAAACAAGAAGATGTGTTGTGTACGCTCCTTTTTCTTACCAAAGGAGCAAAGACTGTCTAAAAAAGAAGAACAAAGAATGCGAAATCAAACATATATTGTTAGATATGTGTAGTGTACGCTCCTTTTTCTTACCATGTAGCTGTCCTTTGGCTCAATCTAAAAAGAAGAACAAACAAGACTAAATGGAACAAAGATTGTTAGAGATGCCTCATATACGTTTCTTTATCTTGCAGTGTACCTAAACTATTGTTCTTATTGCAAGCAAGATGGACAAGTAAGATAAAACAAAACAAACTTTGTTTCTTCTGTATTATATAATACTTTATTGGCAAACATAGCCAACCCATATGATAAGTAAAAAGAAAGAAGAAAGCTATGTGCCATAGGTTCCCAGGACCATGCGCAAGGGAGAGTTACGTGCACCGAGCTGCCCCTTTCTATTGTGAAACAAAAGATCCCTTACTATACTAAAGACTTTTGGGGGATTTTAATATTAGTATTTTCCAATGCAAGATTGTACTACATATGATTAAATAGCACTAGATTTTATAAGAATTTTTCATCCACGCCATACTCATTGTGAAGATTCATGTGTTTTTATTGTGACAATCAAACTTTCATGCAATCATGTAGTATCAGGCTTGATTCAAAAGGAAAGAGCGAATAAGACAAAAAATGAAGCAAAATATTTTAGACATATATGATGTATGTATGTTTCTGTTTGTTGTGCTACAAACATAGTTAACATTTTGTCCTTGATATTTTAAATGGGATTTATCAACAACCCTTTAGGCCTCCTTTGGTTTACACCAATTTTATATGAATTCTAAAGAATAAGATTTTTGTAGGAAAAATTCCTTTGAAGCCCTTTGGTTTGTAATAATGGATTCCTATTCCTACATAAAGATAGTAACCAATCCTTCATATTTCAAAGGAAAAAAACATTAGCCTATACCCAATGTTAAAATGTTTATCCTATGCGTCAAATGACATCTTTTTCCCTATAGAAAATGAGATACATGTCATCTCTCTCCTATGAATTTCATATTCCTATGATATTCCTATCCTACGAACCAAAGGAGGCCTTACACTTGATTTCAGAAACAAAAAAACTATAAAACAGAATAAACTATTTCAAGCACATTAGGTACATGTTTCTTTCTTGTACGAGCATACACCATTTTATTTTTCATATTTAAAATTGGCCATGTCTTCTTAGCAAATCTTCAACCTTCATTCCAAATAGAAGAGTAAATAAGAGAAAAAGAAAATCCTTGTTACACATTTATGTATATGTTTATTTTCTTAGCAAACATAGCTAACCTTTTTTTGTTATTATAAAAATAATACCAAATAAGAAAGAAATATATAATATGTGTTCCTTGTTTGGAAAAATATCTTACCTTTCGGTCATGATTTTTTAAATATAAATAGCAACTAAGATGAACTAAAACAACTCTTCTAGACGTAACCTGCAATTAAGAAAAGTGGTTTCTTGGCTTTAAAAGATGACTAGAAATTAAGCAAAAGAAAAATGTTCTTCAAACACGAGCAATGCTTTTTGAAGCTCTGACTCCATGGAGCTCAATTTTTTCATTTTTTTCTAATGAAAATCTAGAAAAATGTCCACATGCATACTATAGATGTATTCTACATGTGTTTTAAAATTAATTAGGAGGTACTTTAACATCTGAGCAATTTTTTTGGGAATTTAAACAAACAATGCATGTATTTTTTCTACTTTGAATTCCATTATTTCCTGATAATATTTTACAAGCACCTAGAATACAACTATATATAAGGTGGATTTTTTTTGGATTCTTTTGAAACTTCAACAATTTTGTAACTTTTCAAAACAATGGGCTCCATTGGGCCTGGGCTCCAAAAGATATTTCCGCTTCAAACATGTCATATATACATTTATTCCTTTCATGCACATTGTTATAAAACAAGGAGATATTTATGGTAAGAAAACCTCATCGAGCCTCTAGATATAGATTAAAAAAACCTTGCTCGATCGCTATATAAATACAACCTCTCACGGACCCGGCCATCAAGACCTAATAACCTCCCCCCCCCCTCGCCGCCGCCCCTTCCACCTCCGAGCTCTCACTCCATCAAGATATTTCGATGTCGATCCCAAGGTGATATTCTCCAAACTCCGCCTCCATAGG